GAAATCCATCGATTGCAACCCAAATGATGGGTACCAAACAGGCTGTGAAAGGAAATGTACAACATTCTCTACCTTGTGCATTTCCGAAAAGGCTTTCGCCCCGCTTTATATATAAAGCAAAGATCATCAACAAACCCGGTACAAACGCACGCCAACACAACACACACACCCAAGGCAGGATACAAAGATGCTGAGCGCAGCAACACCACCCCTAGCACTACAAGAGTAACCGGAGATCTTAGCCGTGAACACGCCACCGCCAAGAGGTGAAGCCGCATACGGCGAATCGAGGGCTCCAAGGCGGCGCCTTCAGGAAGGGAACGACACCGGAGCGCCGCCACCGCCCGACATGAGGGTCAGGGTTTCCCCTGGAGCAACCTGACGGGCAATGAAGGCCGCGACGACGCCTTCAAGAAGGGAACGATGCGCCGCCGCCGGTCCGTCCGAAGATAGAGCAGGTTTTCACCCCGGTCAACAATCACCACCACCGAACGCTACACCCCGGCAACCATGCCTGCCACACGGCCATGATCACTAGGGAGCACCAAGCCACGGGCTCTGCCCATGAGCACCGCGCTACCACCTCCAGGGCCGCCGCCCTGGCATCCAAGGCCTTGACACCACCTCACCCGAGACCGGCCGCTACTCCAACCAAAGAGACGAATGGAAAGGTCCCGTCTTTCGCACCCCTGGGCGACCCCCAGCACCGAGACCTAAGAGGCCGGCCGAAACGGGCCTCCATCTCCTTGTCCTGCTGCCCCGGGCGCGAGACGGGCTCAGTCCTGCAGCCGGGCACGAGACGAGGTCGGTCCTGCTGCCGGGCGCGAGACGAGCTCGGTCCTGCTGCCGGGCGTGAGACGAGATCAGTCCCGCAGCACCGGGCGCGAGACGGGTGATGGACCATAGCTGGGAGAGGGCCAGCCCTTCGACGAAGGTAGCGTCCGAACGACGAGGAGAGGAATCGAAGGCCAAAACAGGCCACTTCCCGACGAGCCGACGTCGGAGATGTCCGGCCGCCGCCGTGAAACGACCCAAACCACCGCCATTGCCACCACCACGCCGTGGCAGCCCACATCCATGCAGTGACCCGACCGGCCGCTGCAAGCACCCCGGGCCGCCCGTCGGCGAGCAGGGCCAGATCCGGCCGAATCTGACCATGCCGCAACTGTTGGAAGACTACCGTTGCTGGCTCAACTAGAGGACCGAGTCCTACGTAGTTCATGCACCGGATGTGCCGTCCTTTTCTGTTACACGATGTGCATGACCCATGACCTCCTGTATAGCTGGGTTGTTACCAGCCTCTGTACCTGTATATTAACCCCTTCGTGGGCATCAATGAGAATCACCAGTGTATTCATTCTCCATCTTGGTAATCAGAGCTCTCTTTCCTGTCCCTGTCTCTCATGGACACTGGCGGCGGCTCCGGCGGCCTTTCGAGCGGCGACCTGACGGGACCACCGCTCCCGCTCCTGTGCGCCCCCACCGCTGCGCCCACTCCCGCTGGCCCACCACTCACCCCCACCACTCCGGCCACCAATCCCGGACCCCACCACTCGGCGACCAGCTCGCCTACTCCCACACTCGCGCCATGCAGCCAATCGCCTGCGCGCTCGCCATGCAGCCAATCCGCGACGTCCTCGCCATGCACGTCGCCCCGCGCTCTCCCCCCGCC